ATAAGAAGCAAATTCAAGAATGAGCAGTAGCTTACAAATATAGTGATAAAAAAATATTGAATGAAATAATAGACGAGAAGCGAATGAAAACAAGGATAGATGTCATAAATTAGAGAGGCGACAAAATTGACATATAACTATGGAAGGACTCTGGAATTCACGAAAAGAAGGCAACGAGCGTTTTGCCATCCAAACAACGCATAAATCGGAGTAAATAAGGACGTTTTTTAGGACAATTAATTGCAGCATGATCCCGACAACACGACGTAAATAAATAAAAGGTGTGTTTTACCAATAATACCATTTCCCTTTTTCTTCTTCAATGAGATGTAATCGTCATCATTCGTGTTTAATATAAATTCAGCAACTTCATTAAATTCCTATTTCCGTACAGAAGCCTGTTTTGTGACAGTTACTAATGGCACTGTTTACAAAACGCCACCTGTTGTGTTTGAAAGTCTCTGCATGGACAAAGGCGTCTGGCAGAAGGTTCTTTAGCCACGCATGTAAAGAGGATAGGCTGTTTCTGTAGCGTGCACATGTGGGTTGACACATCGTAAAATTAATTTTTATCCTTCTTTGTCGGTTCAGCACAATAATTTTCGATCCCATACTGAGCGATTCTTTATTAAAATGTATGAGGGAAACCGCTCAGGATTTATCAACAACCCAAAAACTGTGCATCATTTGTTCAAGACAGAACTTCGAGACCGTTCAAGTCCTTTGCTCCGTTTTCTGTCAACCATCAACAATTTTCATCCTTTTTTTTAGTTTTTTTTTTGGTCGACCTTCCTTTTTCCATCCTAGTTTTTCATGCTTCACTAGGTAAAGTAACAGTCAATCTCTTTATCAACATTGATCACATTATAATAAATTATAAGAGTATGATCTCAAAATCCCTCATAGCACGTTTCTTTCTAAAAGTGAGTGGATAATAAGGAGAATTTTTTTTTTAAACTATGTCTATTCCGAATTATGATGAAGTTACTTTCCGGAAGTACATTAAAGTTACTTTCTTTAAGGGATAAGTTGTGCATGCCAGGAATACTTGAGCCAAATAAGCTCAACTGGCCAAGCTACGTACGTGCAAACCTAAGTACTCACATAATATTCTGTGAAAGCATTCACGCGTTCCAGCATGCCTTTATGCGTCCATTCACGAGGAAGGTAAGGCTTGACCTACAAGAACGAGTAATCTAATTGATCAAACAGGTGGTCTAATTTTCCATTTATCAGCTTAGGGTTCAGTCCGTCAATCACACCTTAACACGTTCAGTCAGCAAATTAGTCAGTGACTCAGTCACTCACTAGGTCAGTCTATCAGTCACTCAGACAAAAATTTGGCTAGGTTTAATCAGTCAGTCTTTCACAAACCACCCACTAAGACAAACAGCCAGTTAGCCAGTCAATCTGTTTGTCAAGCCTCAGCCCGTTCGTAGGTCAGTATTCAGACAGTCGGTAAGTCAGTCAATCAGTCACTCCTTCAGTTCGTGAGCCAGCCGATAGTCTACTGTGGTCGTCAAGTCTCTGGACAGCGAGTCAGTTCGTTCGTCATTCATTTAGAGAGCCAGCCAGCCAGTCGTCAGCTTCTACCCTCGCGCGTGACTCGCACTTCGCGCCGCCTCGTCCTTTCCTCCGATCGAGTGAAAAACGAGAAAAAATTACGCCTGTTCTGTAGGCTACCTTAAATTAATATCTCTCTAAGATTTTGGTATCACATCGACATTGTCCCTATCACAATCTCCCCTTCAATCTCATCATTCTTCTGAATTATCGTTTTTATTATATGAAGAACTGACACTTCATTTGCAAAGGTGTAAATACCTCAGTTCTTAACATCTCCTTGACAGCCTCTTCCACATGTGAAAGATTAGAAATATCAACGGTGAACACGTGTGGCTTTCCGATGAAGACTTCGGCGTAAGGATTCTGGGATGTAAGCTAAAAACAACACAAATGACTAACACTGCAGCAAAGCCTCGGTAAATTGCTGTTGCTCAACAATAAATAAAAGCTTAAAAGATTACACATTTCCCTCGGCAATGTTTCCCAGATTAGTTATGGATATTGAACTTGGTGGAGTGCAAGTTGGTCTGAAATTGTACGCGGGATTTCAAAATCAAGCAAGCGCGCAGCGCAAGTGTAATTAGAAATCAACCATTACATTACATCTGTTTTGAAATCCCAAAAGTGAGTCGCTTTACACAACTCTTTTTAGTCCGAAAAAATTGTATTGATCCAACATATTAAGCTGGTTTGCAAATTATTGCAAAAGTCGTCACTTATTTTCCTGCAGTTTGATTGATTTCGCCAATAAGGCCTTGAAATTTGAGTGATTGTTTCTTTTTTTTTTAGTAAAGTTGTCTCTTTGTTGGGAAAAAGATGCGATTTAGTGCACTGAAATTGCGAGAGCCAATCAGAATGCAAGGATCACAAGTGATTTTAAAATGGATGTAATAAAACAGAAAATCAAATCTGAGTCACACCCGTCGACGAAAAAATAGTCAATCTCTTCTATTAGACTCCCGCACAAGCCTTAGCAAACCTGACTTCATCTAACAAAAATATCACCTCAGTCTCTTACGTTTCTAAGAGTTGGTTTCAACTTGAAGAATCCTGTGTTGAGGCGATTATGCGGAGGGTCAAACTGCAAAACAATACTTAATAATAATAATAATAATAATTATAATAATAGTACATTTTTAATTTTCATTATCTATATACAACTTTACCAAAATCCAAATCGTACCTACATGCTAAATTGCTAAAGAGAAAGATCTTTTTGACATCACATAATAATGCAGAAAAAAATTAAATCATCTTTGTTTTATCTGCGTACATTCGGAAATTAACAAAGGGAAAAAATGCTCTCTACACAATAAAAATAACAACAACAATAATAATAAAAATAAGATATAAAACAATGATGATAACAATGTCAATAATAATGATGATGATGACAAGACGAAAAACATCTTTCTCTACTTCTTTACCAAGCTCAAAAATTTATCATATCTATTATTCTATTTAACAACGATAATTATAGCGATAATAATAACGATGATGACAATGATAGTGACCATACTGATAATGAGGGTAAAGATTCTCAAACCTCAAATAACAGCACTCTTTAAATAACCTTTTTCCTTGCGATTACATCAATGATTACCTTGGCATTTAGAAAAATACATCCTTGTGCTATTGCTTCCAGGGGTGCAGGGCCTTCATACGGAAATCCGAGACCTATGAACACCTGAAATGATTAAATATGACATCGGTGCTTTGATCAGGCAAGACAAGGCTTCAATAACGTCATCGTCGCCGTCAATATCTGAAGAAATGTTGCACGTTTATTTCTAATGTCTCCTGAACTCTTTTACTCATCCTTGAAATATGATCATTAAATCAAGCATTAAGATTGTGAGATAAAAAGGAAATGATCACGAATTAGAGAAGTTCTTGATTGTTAAAAAAACCCTCTACTAATTGGAACCGAAATGCATAGAGAGCAGTAAGGAGAATATGCATACTAATGTTGGGTATACATGGTTTACGCAGGTTGTCCGCCAGTAATTATTAAGTTGCGCAAAAACAATGTCGGCTACTGATCCAACATCTTGAGCCTATTTTTCCTTTTGTAGTCTCTATTTTAATCCAAGTGAAAGTTGATCGCAAATGTGGTTGTCGACAAATGAAGCGCGTTTTCCTTATTCTGGTTAGTAGTTCAACAGAACAACATTCTTCTTCAAAAACTCTGGCTCTTATGTTGATGGCATGTTTATGGTTTGCGTAACAACTCGGACTGAACTCGATTTTAAAATTCTACACTTCTCCTAAAATATGAAAAGAAATTAATAGTAAGCTGCTTGAGGTGGTCGCTTAACAGAGACAATTTGGGTCTCAAGAGGGTTCAATTTTGGCGTCCATGCCCACTGGACACTGGTGCCTGTTACGTGAAGAATATCTTCGGAGTAAATATGGGAACCCAAAATTAATATCTAAGTAGGATTATACTTTATTCGAGGTTGCTCTGTATGCACGCTACATGCTCACCTTAGTTTCCTGTAAAAGTTTTTCTAAGTCGGGTTTACTAAGAATGCCATGTGATATCACGTACTCAGGAATATTTTCTTTGATCTCTGCTTCCTGAAAACAAAAGACGCCAGTAGTTTAATCACTAGTAACAATCTACAGGAAAAATTATTATACATGCATTTTTGGCAAAGTAAAAGTTGCAATCTGTATTATAATGCGACTAGTATTTGGAGCAGGACTGCTTCTCCTCCTGAAAAGAGATTGGAGACCACCGGTGGCTAATCCACAATCGAGATCGTCAACTGAGCAGTAATGTTCGATCAACGGTAAAATTACCTATCCCCCCAACCTTGGATAGAAATTTCTATCTCCCTCAGACTTTAGTCTCCAATATGATATCAAATATGGGGGCAAAACTTTTCACGCAGAAAAACAGAGAGCTTATTGAGGCACTGTCGTTAGCAATATCATACAGTCTTCAGTTATTTACTTCAAACATTTTTTTCCATCAACATTTTTCCATGTCTGCAAACATACCGACATAGCAGAGAACGTTCCATGTATTTCTAAATGTTTATGTAACGTGTCGAGGTATTCTCTTTTTCCCTGCAAAGGAAGAAACGATACAAAAATTAAAAGGAAACTTTGAACAGGGAGGCTTCAAGGACATCACCTTGTAACTTATCAAACAACATTAAAGGATGCTTTGATTATTTCGGCGTTTTTTTTCCTTTTTTGTTTTATCGTAACATCGAGTTTGTTTATTTCAGGTGAATTGGCATATGGGTAGCCATGCAGGCATGCGCGTCAGTCATCCCTTACGACAGCTTATATATGAGGTGTCACACAACGTTTCGTTTTATAACTAAGACTCTTTTGAGCAAATCTTTCGCTTCATTTACTAGTAAGCGCCGAGGCCCCATTCAAACCAGCTTGAAGCTTATCTGGGCCAGCCTGCATAAATATCGCTAATAAATAAATAAATAACGTAGCAGCGACGTCTCCCTCCAGATATTTTGTGCTTCTCTAAAAGCGTTAATACGATTTTCTTTAAGCTCAAGGTTTCTGTGTAACAAGTTCTTGAGAGGGGATATGAAATGGCTTTGATCGGAGGCTATTGCACGTAAAGTCGTCTTGGTTAAAAATTAAAAATAGGGTGCCAACGCTATCCTCTCTATCCCTTGTGAGGTTAATGGGCACCCAGGCATCCAACAACGAAAAAATACAGCACGAGTATAATTAGAAAGTTTTCTTAGGAGAACACTAAGGACACAAACTGTGCGTCGTTTAAAATTTGCAGTCCGTGTTCATCGTGCGAATCCTATACAAACTTGATCTCTCTAAGCCTGTTATTTTCCCTTGAGTTATAACATTTTTCAAAATTTGCAAATAAATATTTAGTAACTTGTCAAAATATTTGACACAGTTCATTTTTTGAGTGAACTTGGCGATCGCTGCAGGCACGTCACCAAAACAAAGCACACACTCATTGCCAACTCTTTTTACTGAGAATCTATGTATATGTCTCCCTGGGTGATCGAAGGAACAAAATTAATAATACCAGAGAGCCATTGGACCAGCTTAAAAACCCTCACCCGCCAGAAGCTAGCTTCTTTGCCATAAACGAGTCCGATCGGTTTTTTCTTCAATGGTTTAACTTCTTCTGGAATAGGTTCACCAACCACAAAGCCCAGAAACAAGTTATCTGGACTATGAGCTGATGACAAGAGCAAATATTAATCACTTTTCTGAGAGCGGGATTATGACTCGGTTCTTCTAAGACAGGAAAAGATCAAATTTAATTCCTTACTAATTGATTATAAACCTCTTACGCCTTCGGATTTAATAATCCTTTTCGTTTCTCGTTTACGCGCAAGTGTTACAACTGTTTGTAGTTTTATCTTTTGTTTGTTGCTCCTATTTGAGGGCATCCGAAAGCGTTGCAAGGAGGGGTAAAAAAAAATACAGACAAACAAACAAACAAACAAGATAATTGTACGTGTAATGGTTAGGATCAACTGGGGATTTTGTTAACCACTCGTACGATTACAGACCGAATTTGACTCCACTCAGTCTTATTAACATAATTAATCAGTTTTGTAAAAGCAGCTTGAATAAACAGCATGGAAAGTCGCTTACGAAACATTGTCATGATCTGCCGAAGATTGATATCAGCTCGCGCCCACGCTGTCTTTTCGCCAGGTATCCCGCCTTTATATGCTCCATAGTTAAACTGTGCGTCCGTTCCAAAGGAATCAAGAATTCTTATTCGGCATCTAGGAATGGAATTACAAAGTACCCACATTAAACCCGAGACAAGGACTAGTTGAACAGTTTATGAAGAAAAAAATCAAAAAAGGGTAACTATGGCATAAATCCAAAGATTGAGGGCGAACTGGCAACAAACAAGTGCAAAGCAATAAAATAACAAAAACGAAAACCATCGAAATAACCATACGACCGACCTAATGAACGGAAACGGCACCGTCCGAAAACAACAAGATAACGGAAAACCGTCCCAGCGACCGGCTGACCAACCAAAGAAACGAAGGAACGAAAGAACTATGGAGCGAAGGAACAAGTTAGTTCAAACATACATCTGACCTCTAACCCCTACACTTACCTATAAGGCGACAAATTTGGAGTAATGTGCCTGAACATGTTGGTAAACCCATTGTAGTCTGTGTAAATCAGGTCAAATTCAGGCTCGAATATATCAGCACAACCACGAAACTTTGGAGTCGACATATAACTGAAAAAGAAACATACAAATGCCAAGCAAACAAGCACAGGAAATCACTTATATAAATATTGTCATGAACCATAAAATATTTTTCCTGGCGCTCGATTGGTCTAAACGCGTCACGTTACCGACAAATGTCTGTGCATATTTTCGCGCTAATTGAAGGCTACTATTTATATAATGCGACATGGACACGTCTTCAAATGCTCCAATATCAACGCAATCGTTGTGGATAATAACGAGAGATAAACATCACAAATAACCGATGAGAAGTCAAGTTTAACACAAGGAAACGGTATCTAAAACACGACAGAGAAATTTTGAATCGAGTGTCGAAAAGCCAAAACCAAAGTGATCTCAGGCGATCCGTCAGAAGAAAGATCAAGATCATCAGTAGCCCATAAGGACTCATAGTGGAAAGAAGCAAACTCCTTGAGGTGCGAGAAAAAGTGAATGAAAAAGTCGCGATTGTTTTAAGTTTTGCAGATGACTGGTTGAGAGGATGGCGGGAGAGTCTTCGGGAGCAATCACGAAGCAGCGTAAATTAAGACTAAAGCGATGCCGGATTACTTTCAACTGAAAAAAAGCTTTAAGGGGTTAACGCACGTGAGAAAGTGGCAATTTAATTCTTACTGCTTTATTCTTAAAAATTTGATAGGTTAAGAAGATTGCACGAGTATTATTCACCAGTCGAGGGCTAAAAAGACAAGACCAGTCAAATGTTGTAAATCCGTACATGTAATCGTACATGTAATCACAACTCTGAACCAATCAGAGTGTAGAAAAAGAACACACGACTCGAAGAAAACAATACAAGATTTGCGTTTGATTGGTCGAGAAGAGTTTTCTAGACCAGTGACAGAGCGGAGCGAAGAGAAAGGAAAACTGGACATTCAATTCCCAACTGCTGTAAAATTGTACTGAAATTGCTCAACCCAAACTTACCTCTGGTACGTAGTGGAGTTGACGGAGATTGTAACGTCATGTCCCAAAATGTACAACGCCGCTATCAGATCGCTCCACTGCACCATCTCTCCCAGAGGTGCACCGGTGAAAGCCATATCCAGCCACATGGGTCGATAAGCATACGTGCCTAAGAAAATAAAAATCTACGGAAAGAGTTAAAAACAGCGTCTTAGTCAACTTTTCCCTTGCTAATGTTTCGCGTTGGAGAATGAAATCGTTTCCTTGAAAATGCAAATCAAGGTTCTTCGAGTGTATCCAAACTCGACTCTCGATACTCTACTCTCAAAAAATGACCTTTTTGACGTGATGTTTGCTGCGTAGTGATCCCTCTGTTGTGAACTGTTTGGCTGCTGCCACCCACCGAGGCCACATTCTTGAGATACGGTCACGCATCCACCGCAAATTATATTTATTCAGGGTGTCTATGAATGTTTGATCCAGCTCAAATCTCATTTCTGCAAGCTAACAGAAAACAGTAATATGACCTTCAGCAACACGTTCATTTTAAACAAGATCGTGTTACAGTGCACAGGACTCCATTTTCTCTCAAACAACTATCCACCATGTTCACAGCATGAGTAACACGTTTACTATAAGTAATCTGATGTCTTTCATCTATCACGTCTCTCATAAAGCGCGGTAAAATACACGTTAAAAACACAGACAAGCCAACATTTTTCGTTCTCAATGATGCTTCCATTCTCCGAATCCTGTGTTAATTAAGGGTCCCCAAAAGGTTCTTCAATACCGCGATCCCAACTAAAATTTTCTCTCAATCCCGTAGTCCCGACGGTTTATACCGGCCAATCCCGATCCCGATCCCGAACATACAATTTTGTCTTCGCTCATTTCCCAAACTTAGAACGGCCTTTCCGGTGGGTGATGATTTTCTTAATTAGCATTGATTCGTTCAAGTCTATAGTCATTGTAAGGCATGAATTTATCTCTTTTCACCAAGATGATGATATTGTTCATTTAAGAAGTTCTGCACGAACAACGCACGCTAGTCACGGTAGCGACTTTCTTTCATTAAACTTCGATCACAGAAAAACGTATGGGTATAGGTAGGTCAGTATCAAAGAAACGAAAACCAAATGCAAACAGTGGATAAAACACAAAAGGTCACGGCAATCTTGTAGTTCCATAACAACGGAGATGAAAACAAATTAACTGAACACAATTCTGCTCTTCAAGCGAACACTTCTTCTGAGGCGGGAACCTCTTCCGAGGTAAAATCAGCCTCTCGTTCCAAAGACTGAATGTCATCATTATCACTCGGGGAATCGTATTCTAATATTCCATCTTCCTCTCCGTCTTGTTTCCCGCTGTTTTTTCGCTGCTTCTCGAAGTCAGAGCATTCGAGACTGACCCGGGTTCGACCTGCTGAACTTCTCTCTAATAGAGGTACGACGGGAAGTTCCAGCTCTTGCCATCGTTGTTTCCTGTCTGACAGAGAGCTGATGCACTGCTGCAACGAATGTTTACGCCCGATCCTTCATCTTCTGTATGTTCTGTGGTGCCATCGGCACAGGTGGTAACGGTTGAATTGCTGGTATGGCCGACAGGATCATGGCACGTTCGGGTACAGGATACCAAGAATTTGGATTTGTTTAATGTTACGCCGTCTAATGGGTTGTCCTCATAAAGTCTTCTCAGGCTGCATTTCCAAAGTTCCTTGGGTAGTCTAACACCGTGGAAAGTTTATCTTTGTAATGCACAACCGAAAGAATATTCTTTACAGGGTCGTGTAACTCAACAGGTTAAGAGCATCATATTAGTATAATTCTGAGACTTGCTGGAGGCTTTTCAACGCTGTTAAGCATTTCAATTGACGCAAAAGTCTTAGACCACGTTCTACCTAAGCTCTGCGGGCCATTGTGGATTTTTGATAAATTGGTAACTTCGCTTCTGATAAAATTTTCATTCCCGCACAATTACTGAAGAGTGTCGTTAAGTAGCCCGACCGCCTCTTAAATGGTAGAGAGCCTGTATGCCTGGTGCTTTTTATGACTGAGAAGATCAATTTCTTCTTAAATTCTCGTCAACGGACATCTCTGTTCTCGGTTTGTTTAAGTGATTATTTCCCGCATCCCGCTCCTAAAAATCGCCGATTTCAGTGTCCCGTTCATATTAGTAATCCCGCATTACGCTCCCTCCTTTATTTAAATTCCCGGATCCCGGCCTTTAAATGAGCCCGATCCCGGATCCCGAAAAACCTATTGGAGACCCTCTTAATTCGTTGAAATTTGAACACCTCTAAAACCAAAGAACAAAAACGACGCTCTGCATGATTGGTGCGAGATGTATACCTTAATGCGGTGATCTGATTGGTGCGAGATACATACCCTAAACGATCTGATTGGTGCGAGCAACATACCACTCTATACGCTAACATATATATATATTTTTTCTTTTTAAAAATTACTTTTTTCACGTGTGCTTGATATCACCAATCAGCTGCTGCACGTCATTCGCCTTTCACGCCACTCGTTCAGGTTGATGAAACCAGGGTCGTTTGTTGGAATTTTTTCGGAGGATGGCTACTAAAACACTGAAAAACCCGTATCGCTCACCGAAAGTGACGTTGGAACTTTCCTGGTAGGGAAAGAATAGCCAAAATTCGAAAAGAAAAACCGAAAGTCACGTAATCAGTGGCTTTGGTAATGGCATTTTCCACAGCTAAGAACGAAAATCGACATTTGGATGATTTGCCACAGGCTGCTGTTGGCTGTGTACCTGAAAGATTTCTTCTGTTGGTGAGGACAAAGTAAGTAACTGAGAATTTTGTTTTTTTTTTTATTTTTTTATTCTTTTTTGTTTCTTTTTTTATTTTGAATTTTTATTTTCATTCGTTTATTGAGTCGATTTTTCTGGTCAGTGAAGGGCTATTGTACGTGTTTATATGATAAACAAAATAATACATGGCCGCTTGTAGATATGGAATTATTCTTCTCTAACCTCGGGTTCTTTGGTACTTGTACCGTTTTTCCGCCGCCATGGCAGCACTGGACAAAATCTTTCAACCTGTGACGGGAATTGCATTACCAATGTGCATTAGTGCAGTAGTTATTTAGTAGAAGAGGAGGTGAACACTGTACATTTAGAAAATTGCACTTAAATAGTTTATAGAGAGAAATATGACACTCGAGGTGAAACAGAAATTTGATATAAGAACGTACCTCACTAAGGTAAACAATGACAGAGCAAAGGTTCTCTGGCTTCAGTTTGTGTCTATCAACATAGCATTCTGTATTTGTTTCCCAAAACTGCTGCACAAACTGAGAAGTTGATTGGGGTAGTGAGTTAGTTACAGACACATTTTATATCAAGTCAGTGAAGTGTTAATATATAATTATGATCGATGTAAAGATCGTTGATACACAGCATGCAAATAACAAATAAAACATTCATAGGAACTGCAACAAAAGCCCTGAAAGAAAAAAAAATTTCTGTTCTATTTGAAACCATGAAAAATTTCAAAAATTAAAACCAAAAAATTGGACGAAACGAGCTTCTCATTTAACTTGCAATTAATTTCATGAAAAATAAAGAAAAGAAACGACCTCT